GATATTTAAATAGCCTATATTTTCCTGTATTTAAGTAGTCTCTATTTTCCTGTATTTAAGTAGTCTATATTTTTCTGTATTTAAGTAGCCTGTATTGTCTTGTATTTGATATTTAAATAGCCTATATTTTCCTGTATTTAAGTAGCCTGTATTGTCTTGTATGTAATATTTAAATAGCCTGTATTTTCCTGTATTTAAGTAGCCTGTATTGTCCTGAGGAAACATGAACATTAACTAAAATAAAACACTCGAGATTACATACCAAATATTCACTAGTATCATACACCGGTACACCCTGAGGAAACATGAACATTAACTAAAATAAAACACTCGAGATTACATACCAAATGTTCACTAATATCCCACTCCGGTACACCCTGAAGAAACATGAACATTAACTAAAATAAAACACTCGAGATTACATACCAAATGTTCACTAGTATCCCACTCCGGTACACCCTGAGGAAACATGAACATTAACTAAAATAAAACACTCGAGGTTACGAACCAAATGTTCACTAGTATCCCACTCCGGTACACCCTGAGGAAACATGAACATTAACTAAAATAAAACACTCGAGATTACATACCAAATGTTCACTACTATCACACTCCGGTACACCCTGAGGAAACATGAACATTAACTAAAATAAAACACTCGAGATTACATACCATATGTTCACTAGTATCATACTCCGGTACACCCTGAGGAAACATGAACATTAACTAAAATAAAACACTCGAGATTACATACCAAATGTTCACTAGTATCCCACTCCGGTACACCCTGAGGAAACATGAACATTAACTAAAATAAAACACTCGAGATTACATACCAAATGTTCACTACTATCACACTCCGGTACACCCTGAGGAAACATGAACATTAACTAAAATAAAACACTCGAGATTACATACCAAATGTTCACTAGTATCATACTCCGGTACACCCTGAGGAAACATGAATATTAACTAAAATAAAACACTCGAGATTACATACCAAATGTTCACTGGTACCGCACTCAGGTACACCCTGAGGAAACATGAACCTGCAGTACCATTAAATGTGGATTACATAATATTAATTAGCCAAACACGTTAAATGCATCGCTAATGACAAAGGTGTCTGTACCGTTACCATGAACAAGATTGTTGAAAACGATCCCACGAATAGTGTAGAAAAACAAAACGATTGGACACTTTAATTAAACTAACGATTGATTACTAAAACTTTTAAATCTCACATACCCGCTCAGGAACAATCTACCAGTTTATCAAGTCGGTGCATACCAACTCCCACGTCACCTAGGAGATATTATTAACAACAGAATCGTAAATAATCGTTATAAAATAGAAAACAACTTTAAATGACATTATATTAAACCTCCGAGAAATAATGGTGTCATATAACAGTTTACTACTGTTTCTGTAGGACTAGCTAGCCAAGTCGAGAAATAATGGTGTCATATAACAGTTTACTACTGTTTCTGTAGGAAGTCCTAGTCCTACAGAAACAGTAGTAAACTGTTATATGACACCATTATTTCTCGACTTGGCTAGTTAGTCCTACAGAAACAGTAGTAAACTGTTATATAACACCATTATTTCTCGACTTGGCTAGTTAGTCCTACAGAAACAGTAGTAAACTGTTATATGACACCATTATTTCTCGACTTGGCTAGTTAGTCCTAGAGAAACAGTAGTAAACTGTTATATGACACCATTATTTCTCGACTTGGCTAGTTAGTCCTAGAGCTAGCCAAGTCGAGAAATAATGGTGTCATATAACAGTTTACTACTGTTTCTGTAGGACTAACTAGCCAAGTCGAGAAATAATGGTGTCATATAACAGTTTACTACTGTTTCTGTAGAACAAGCTAGCCAAGTCGAGAAATAATGGTGTCATATAACAGTTTACTACTGTTTCTGTAGGACTAGCTAGCCAAGTCGAGAAGTAATGGTGTCATATAACAGTTTACTACTGTTTCTGTAGGACATATAACAGTTTACTACTGTTTCTGTAGGACTAGGACTAACTAGCCAAGTCGCCTAGCAAAAACTAATATGTGGAGGAAGTTTACTTGATATCATTCCACAGCTGTTAAAACCACTTGTTTCATGTTATCAATGTTACAGCTTCATGTTATCAATGCTACAGCTTCATGTTATCAATGTTATAGCTTCATGTTATCAATGCTAGAGCTTCATGTTATCATTGTAATAGCTTCATGTTATCAATGTTATAGCTTCATGTTATGAATGTTACAGCTTCATGTTATCAATGCTACAGCTTCATGTTATCAATGTTATAGCTTCATGTTATCAATGCTACAGCTTCATGTTATCAATGCTACAGCTTCATGTTATCAATGTTATAGCTTCATGTT